CTTGTCAATAGTGCTTGCTAGCTTTGTTTTTTGTCTAACTGAAATGTCAGTTTTTGAAAGAATATTTAAATCTTGATTAATTTCTTCAAACTACAGTTTTCTCATTGCTCCTTATAATTTCTATCAGTTCTAAATAAATATATACACTTCAGAGAGGTTCATTATTTATACCTTTTAGATCAAGTATACTTTTCAGCAGTATACGATACATTTCTTTCCCATTTAACATTCTTTTGTCTTGTATTCTATTTCATCTGATATTAATATTGTTTCACCTACTTTCCTATTTGCCTAGTGTTATCTTTTTCCATTCCTGTTTTAAACTTTTCAGTGATGTTTCAGTTATATCTCTTACACACAGTGTTAAGCTGCATCTTGTCTGCTATTTTTCCTCCAGGGTCTCTGTCTTTTATCAAGAGGTTTTAATGCACTCACATTTACTGTGATTACCGAGTGTTTACATTTAGACTGTCAGCTGGTGTGTCACTCAGCTCCAGCCACAAAGAACTTCTTTCCTTCCTTAACCACCTATGTCCTGCTTCAGAGTCTTTGTACTGGTCCTCTGCCTTCCTGTGGCTTGCTTCCACTCTTCGTTCATGTGTCCAGCTGAACGCCCTGTCTCTCTACATAGCCTTTTTTCAAGTACCTCTGAACTGTGCTTTTGTTTTGTTGTTGTGAATATTTGTTATTACCTGAACTAACATTCACTACACTACTGACTTAATGTCTGTTTTCTTCACTGTAAACTCCATAAAGAATGTGGGCTTCGGGGGCACAGACCCCATATACCAAGGGTGGCAGGTTCAAACCTGGCCCCCGCCAAACTGCAACAACAACAAAAATAGCCAGGAGTTGTGGTGGGGGCCTGTAGTCCCAGCTGCTTGGGAGGCTAAGGCAAGAGAATTGTCTAAGCCCAAGAGCTGGAGGTTGCTGTGAGCTGTGACGCCATGGCACTCTACCAAGGGCAACAAGTAAGACTCTGTCTCTACAAAAAAAAAAAAAAAAAAGAATGTGGGCTTCACTTGTTTTGTTCACCACTGTTGGCTATTGAGTCATCTTAAACTAAGATATTCCAGTGTGTTTTTGAAGATTCATGAGCCAAACTGGATTTAAGTTTACAGCTTTTTGTGGCCTTATGAATGGCAAAATAGAAATATCTGACTTCCCATCAAAGTAACAATCTTTCCCCATAGTGATCTGTTTATAAATTATAAAATATCAATTTTACAGAATACTGCATTTCATACACCATCTATTAATCACCATATATCTTAAACACTAAAGAGAATCTTTGGGGTTTTTTCAACTTGGCAAATAAGACAATTCAATCTTAGAAATGGGACAAGTATTCAGTTTCAAACAAAAATATGAAGCTTTTTTGGTGAGTAGCAAATTCTTTCCCTAATTAAATTACTTCTCACTTGCCATTTTGGGCAAAAAGTTCATTCTGAAATAGCAATTGCCTTCATAAGAGGATATCTTTTTTTCATAATTAAATACTGCCTGTCTGGGAATAAGAATGTCTCTGAGATTGCTGAGGGAACTGTATTAGCTAGTCTGACATAAATCCTTCTTTAGCCTTAAGGAGATTATTTAGAAACTTAACTTCACTCAATAGATTGCCTCTTTTTTTGCCAGATGTCACTTGCAAACATACCTTTGCCCATATTTTATGTCATTCTTTGGTACTTCCAATAAGAGTACAGAATACTCAAAAGGGGACTAAGAAAGAAATTTAAAAATCATGCAGTGTTAATAAACTATGAAGGGATAGCTGCACTCCCATGTTTACTGCAGCACTAGTGACAATTGCTAAGATATGCAATCAACCTAAGTGCTCATCAATGGATGAATAGATAAAATAAGGTATATATACAAATGGGAGTATTATTCAGCACTAAAAAGAATGAAATTCTGTCATTTGCTATACCACACATGGAAATGGAGGTCATTACATTAAGTGAAATAAGCCAGACACAGAAATACAAATACTGTATGTTCCTACTCCTGTATGGAAACAGAAAAACCAATCTCACGGAAGTAAAGAGGAGAATGGTGGTTACCAGAAGTTGGGAAGGGAAGGGAAGGGGAGAGGGGGAGAGGAAGAGATGAAGAGAAGTTGGTTAAGGGGCACAAAAATACAGTTAGAGAGAATAAGTAAGTTCTAGTATTCAACAGTACAGTAGTATAGTTAACAATAACTTACTGTATATTTCAAAATAGCTAAAAGAGAAGATATGTAATGGTCCCACTACAAAAGACTTACGTTTAGAATTATGCATACTTACATAACATTCTTTTTTAAAAAAGGAAACTAGGCCTAACAGTACAGATTTGGGGATTTATTTATTTATTTTTATTTTTTTTAAAGACAGAGACTTATTATGTTGTCCTCGGTAGAGTGCTGTAGTGTCACAGCTCACAGAAACTTCAAACACTTGGGCTTAAGTGATTCTCTTGCCTCAGCCTCCCAAGGAGCTGGGACTACAGGTACCCACCACAACCACCGGCTATTTTTTGTTGTTGTTGTAGTTGTCATTGTTAAGCTAGCCTGGGCCAGGTTCGAACCTGCCAGCCTTGGTATATGTGGCCAGCGCCCTAAACACTGGACTACGAGCACCGAGCCTGATTCGAAGATTCTTAAACACTCTATCACAATGATGATGTGACTTAGTAGTTATTTAAACATCTTTGCCTAAAGACTCACTAAACTGAGAAAATCAGTCTTACGAATACACTAAAGATAACTACATAAGCAACATGGAATAGCAAGCACAATAACTCAAATATCTTAAGTCTACTGATGAACCATGGCAGTCTGGAGCACTGTGTTAAGAAGGATTCTGAAGCTCAATCCCAACCTGTGGAAAAGACAGATGCCAAAGACCCAGAAGAGAAGAACAGCAGCAGATGTACCCTATATTTGGTCCCCTTTGTATAGTAATAAAAACACTGTACCCATGTTCAAAAAATCTATAGCCCTCCTGTAGTAGCAACTAGAATAACTTTTTTTCTTTTTTTGCAGTTTTTGGCCAAGGCTGGGCTTGAACCCGCTACTTCTAGGGCTGGTACCCTACTCTTTTGAGCCACAGGCTGCCCTGGAATAACTTTTTAAAATAGAATCAAGTCACCTCCTTCTAATGGCTTTCCATACCACGCCAGAATGAAAGCTAAAGTCCTTAATATTACACAAAAAGCCCTGCATTTTCCAGCTCTCCGTTACATCTCTGATATTATTCCCTGGTACATATTATTGATGCTATTCCAAACATACTGTTTCTCTTCACTGTTCTGTAAACACACCCACCAAGTCCCTTGCCTCAGGATCTTTGCATTTGCTATTCCTGCAGCCTGAAAGCTCTTCCTCTGGATAGTCACGTAGTTCACATCCTTGTGTTCTTACCAATAAGGATGTCCCTGTCTCCTCTATTTTTAAAAGCTATACATACACACATACTCTCTTTCCCCTAATCTCCCTTTTGCTTTATATTTTCCACAATTCTAACCACCATCTGACACATTGAATATTTTACTTATTTTCCTTCTTCTAGAAAAGCGGTTCTCAACCTGTGGGTGGTGACCCCTTTTAACTGTATTAAAGGTTCACGGTATTAGGAAGGTTGAGAACCACTGTTCTAGAATGAAACTTCCATAGGGGATCGGTTTTTAGCTGTTCTGTTCACTATGAGATTCCCAGAATAGTGCCAAATACATAGTGGCACACACACATGCCAGTGAATGAATAAATAAATTAATAAACAGATGATAAAAACAAATGAACCTGATTCTAGCATGGGTTCAGTGAGTAATTGGTTAAATAACTTTAGGTGAGCTATTCTGGTCCTCAAAAGCTCTCTAGGTACTGACCTCAACTACCATTATTTGTATAATCTATGACATTCCTACCAATTTACAAAAGTAGAAATGAAGTTACGGAAGAATGACATCATGTCCTTTAGGCCAGTCAATAGAATAGGAGAAAATCAAGACCAGAAAGGCCTTCCAGAGTTCAAATCCAAGGCTCAACTAAGCTCTTTTATAAACAACAACAGAATTATGACAGCTAAAAGACAAACTTCAGAATACAAAAATAAAAAATTCCTAAAGAGAAAAATCCCTTCTAGAAATATTCAAAACAGGGATAGACTCCTTACTCTTTCCCCAATTTTTTGTGTGCCTCTACTCATTAAATCCTTATAAACATTAATAATTGTGGTTGAAAGAGAATGTTCCATAGCAGAGAAAAGAAAAACACATCCAGCTTTTCATTAGAAACTTTAAAATAATTTATATTTATTCTTAGAAAAAATTCAGGATAATCCTCTCAGAGTGCATAAAATTAGAATGGCTAGCAGAACAAGAAGACACCGCAAAACAATAAAAACTGTCTTTCAATCTAATTCTTTTTTTTTTTTTTTTTTTGAGACAGAGCCTCAAGCTGTCCCCCTGGGTACAGTGCCATGGCATTATAGCTCATAGCAACCTCCAACTCCTGGGCTCAAGCGAGTCTCCTACCTCCGCCTCCCAAGTAGCTGGGACCACAGGCGCCTGCCACAACGCCCAGCTATTTTTTGGCTGTAGCCGTCATTGTTTGGCAGGTCCTGGCTGGGGATTCGAACCCGCCACCTTAGGTGTACATGGCTGGCGCCTTAGCCGGTTGAGCTATAGGTGCCGAGCCTTTCAATCTAATTCTTAAATATAAAATCAAAACCTCAAACTATTAAAGACAACTGCATCTTCATTTGATGACAGAGTATTGCTTTCTTAATTTCAAAAAAGAATGGCAAGTGAACAAAAGATTTTTAAAGCAACAAAAGACACCACTATTTAGGGACCCCAGAACTGCCTACCAACTGTCTCTCAACCCAGGAATCGCTGCCAACTACAATTATGAGACTCAAACTGCACAAAAAAATGCTCCAGCACTTTCAGTGAAATGACCGAATTGGATGTGTGATACTGCAACTAACCTCCCCTGGAAGACATAACTATTTACTTACAAACTCATAGTCTCCATCTTGTGGCACTTTCCAATCTGAAGAATTTTTCAGTGGGCCAGGTACACTCTTGCCAAAGCTGTTAATCTGGTTTTCCTTTTCTTTTTGTTCAAAATATTCAAGAAAAGATGGTTTTGCAGGCTGCATAGTCTCATCCCTTCCTGAAAACCAAGAAAAATAAAAATTGAAAAGGAACACTGTTACATTTTAGATAAGTTTAATAAACGGATCTATCTCTAGCTGGGCTACAGTCTCTGGATCAGTGGGTCTTTCTGTTAGATAAGACTCCTTCAAGAATCTATGAAACTACAGAAAAAGGGCACAAATGCTCACTCAAAATATTTCTCACAGAGTTTTAAGAGGATTTAAGGTCCCCCTAAAATACAGGCAAAAACTTCTCCAGCATCCCTTTTTCTGGATAGACGGATTGGGTGATGCAGTGATTCTGAGTAAGCTACAAATAATACATTTTAGGTCTCCTATAGGAAATAGTTCTCATAATATGTAGATTGAAAATAGAGACGCAAAAGTATCTATTTAGCATCTATCAAATACGAAAGTCTCTACAGGCACTGGAATAGGAAGGAGGTGATACAGTAGGGTGATTTTGATAACCTCGTGGCCTAACTGGAGTAAGAAAAATATGCATAAGTAAGTCACAATCCATCCACTCTGAAATATCATGTAACACTTGAAATACTATCTATACATGGTTTATAATAAAGTTAAAGGGAAAACAAGATAAAGTATATGTATATATACAGTATAATCCCAACTCTATAAAATTATATACATAGGAGAAAAAGTCTGGAAGAGAATATATCAAAATGTTAACAGGGTTTGTCGCTGGTAGTAAGACTATACATTATTTTATTTACTTTTATTTATTTATTTATTTGCCAGGGCCGAGTTTAAACCCACCACCTCTGGCATATGGGGCCAGCGCCCTACTCCTTTGAGCCACAGGCACCGCCCCTATTTACTTCTTTTAAACAGTTTTTTAAAAGAGAGTACTAAATATTAAATACATAGAACTAACTATAAGAGTTACATTTGTCCAGATCTTACAAGTTGGAAGGTCATGGAAGAGTGGTAAAGGGGAGCTTACTTAGGCTGGGCCTCAAGCCATTCTGGAGAACAGAATCAGCAGTTACCATAAGAGAGCAGTATATGGCAATTACTCGTAACAACAGCAAAAGAATTCAGTTAAAAACCTAGCTGAGTGTACCTGCTTCATATGCTAAAAGTTATCTTTGTGCCCGTGATTAGTATTCTGATTCGGGGAAACACAGCATTTTTTTTTCAGTATTTTCCACGAACATTTAAGTTTATGCAGCCCTTTCCCACATTAACCAGGAAAAAGAACCGGAAGGTTCAGAGCCTGAAGAGGTATGTGGATAGAAATCTAGAAGATAAAGAAGAGTAAGAGTTTCTCTTCAGGCATCCTTGTCCTAAGCAATCTTACTGATCTCATGACCCTCGCCTAGTCCACTTTCAAGCCGGCACCCAATCTCTCTCAGACATTTGTCATCTTTCTGTCACCATTGCTAAGTTCAACTAATCCTAAATTTGCCCACTTCCAGATGTTGCCAATAGCTTACCACACTGTTGTCTCCCCACTTACTAAGCCTTAAACACAAAATTTGCTAGGACTAGTCAATGAGTACATGGTGTTATGTGTGTTCTAAGTATGGTGCTAGGGACTTTCCGTGTTTAATTGTTAAGCCAAATTTAAGGTATTATTTCTTAACATAGTTCCACAGGAACTACACAAAGATACATAAATGATAATGCTCTGGATCTGCCAACATGTCAGGAAGCCATGTTCTTTTGCTCAGTCCCCTCCTCTGGACAACTTTGCAGCAATGCTACACATAATCCTATGAATTAAAAAAACAGGTGTTCAGAGGACCTCCTAGAGCCAGCGACTGCAATAGCCCTGCCAACTGATGTCAGAGGAGGTCAGACAATTAAGTTTGCAAACTCATCCTAGAAAAAGTGCTGTATACTTCATTGCTAATTATCATTATGGTCACCTTCAAAATACTCCCTTGAACCATCTGGTGACCCTACGATATTCGGCAATGAGGTATCTAGCACTTTTCCAGAAAGAGTTTGCAAAATTAATTGTCAAACCCTGTATGACCAAAGGTCTGATGGCTATTCAGAAGAGTTCCAAAACTGCTTTGAAGGGTAGGCTTGGAGCTGGTATCAGTGCATAGCTTCCCAAGGGGAGTACTTTGAAGGTGACCATGGTGATATTCAGCAATGAGGTATGTAACACTCTAAATAGAGTTTGCAACCTTAATTGTCCCACCTTGTATGTAGTGCACTTTATACAAAACATCCTGACAAGATATACTAACTAGCTGAACAGAACAGACGGTCCAGAAACAAAATAAAAGTCCAAATGGCTGGCCAGGTTCGGCGGCCTGTAATCCTTACACTCTCAGAGGCTGATCTGGATGGATTGTTTGAGCTCAGGAGTTCGAGACCAGCCTGAGCAAGAGAAAGACCCCCATCTCTACTAAAAATAAAAAAACCTGCTTGGGTATTTTGGCGGGCGCCTATAGTCCTAGCTACTTGAGAGACTGAGCCCAAGAGTTTGAGGTTGCTGTGAGCTATGATGATGCCACGGCACTCTACCCAGAGCAACAGAGTGTGACTCTGTCTCGAAAAAAGATTAAATTGAATCTCTACCATCAGACCTTAAACCAGGAAAACTCCAAACAGATAGCAGATCTAATTATAAATATAAAATGCATAAATGCTAGAAGAAAACAGGTGAATGCCTTTAAAATCCAGGTGTGGAAAAGGTTTTTGAACTATGACAAAAATCCAAATACAATAAAAAATAGATAAAAACGTTTTGTGTAACAAAAACACCACAAATTTTAAAGAATAATCATGCGTACACATACTAAGCCATGTTTCAAGACAAATGGAAACAATTATTTGCAATACCATAAAAATGTTTTAAAGAAAATTTTAAAAATGATTTATGTATAGTCTTGATAGATCAGTTCCTAATATTTATTTATTTATTTATTATTATTATTATTTTTTGAGACAGAGCCTCAAGCTGTCCCCCTGGGTAGAGTGCCATGGCATCACAGCTCACAGCAACCTCCAACTCCTGGGCTCAAGCGAGTCTCCTGCCTCCTCCCAAGTAGCTGGGGCCATAGGTGCCCGTCATAGTGCCTGGCTATTTTTTTGGTTGTAGACGTCATTGTTTGGCGGACCCAGGCTGGATTCAAACCCGCCACCTTAGGTGTAGTATGTGGTTGGCGCCTTAGCTACTTGAGCCACAGGCGCCGAGCCAGTTCCTAATATTTAAAGGACTTTTTAAATCAAGAAATAGAAGACAAATAAAGTAGAAAAATGCACTAAAGACCTAAAAAGACATATGAAAACATACTGAGGTTCACTCACAGTAAGAGAAACTCAAATTAAGACTACTTAGAAATATCATTTCCTACATTTCAGACTGGCCAAAATTCACAAGCTTGAAAACACACTGTCTGTGGAGACTGAGGCACTCATATGTTACCGAATTGGAATGCAAAATGGTACAATCCTACAAAGAAGATCTGGCACTGCCTAAATATCAAACTCAGAAATGAGGTGCATTCCAAGGAAGACTGCCTGCAGGAAAAAAAAAAAATTCTGTAATGTGAAGTGAAGGAAGGCACAGAAGAACTCTGTGGTGCTACATTTGAATGGAAAGTATTAATATGAACTCGTGATTTTTTAAAATACAGAAGATACTTCCAAGTTTTTTCAATTTAAAGGCCTTGAAGCAACTGATACCCCAGAACCAATAAGCATACCTCGAACTCAGATCTTGGTGTCCAAAGACCATTCCCTACTAAAAGGAAGTAGGCCGTCTTAAGCAAAACAGCTGATTCCAGGGCTAAAGCAGGAAAACTACAAAACGGACCTGGAGCATCTTTTTGTGCCAAAAAAAGCAAGCAAATATTCAAAAACCGATCGAGACATATCAAAAGGATGCAGGGGCCATCTTGAGGGGCTCCCGCTGGTATGCTTCGAATATCAAAAAGAATACACTGAATAAAAAGAATCTATGAGATCAGAGCAATAATCTAAAAGTAAACCAGGTTTGGGACAGAAGGGAAAGCTCCTCTTTAGAAAAACTGCCATTTGATAACTATGTTATGATAACAAAAAATAAAATCATCTTTCTTATGAAATACACACTTAAAGTCTCAGAGTGAGCTGAACATATAAGGTACCAACTTCTCTCTCCTCATTCCTGCCACCACCCACTGATCCCATACAGAAATGACTAAAATGAGTTTATCAATAAAAACAGTGACTTCCGGACAGAAATAATAGGTATTTAAAATTCTTTCTCCTGTGGAATTGTTACCAAAACCATAAGGATATTGTCCTTTTTAAGAAAACATTATATCCAACAATAAGACATACTTCCATGGTTGTTCATTAATTCCTTTTAGAAGGAATTTAGGTGGATTTCAGAAATTAAAATCTTTCAATCCAAGTTGAAACACTCAAGATACTATTTCTGTGGTCTAGTTCTAAACCATGCCATAAAAATCAAAAGAATGCCTGCTATGTTAGAGCACAATCATTTGTATTAATTTCTATCTCTGTTCAGATGAAAAAGTGAGAACATTTGCTTTCCTCATATTTGGGTTATGACAGCCCTTCCCAACACTCCTTAAAGATTTCTAACATTTCTGGAGTTAAAATACCAACTGTTCTTTGTCTCTTTCAACAACTAACAGTTAGAAATAAGAAATTCTATCTGAAATTCCTTTCTTTTCTTTTCATGTTTTGATACAATAGTAGGGACCTGATTATAAATTTAAAATTCAAAGTTCCAAAAACTACAGTGAATTTTATAATAAAGGTTTTGATCTAATCATGTGAATAAACTGAGAGCAAGATTCACACATGTATTAGAAATTTAACTGTAGCAAAATGATTAGTTAAAAAGATATATATATATATAAATAAATAAAACTTGATTTTGGAGGCAGGACAACAGAAAAATCCCCCTCTCAGAATTTCATGTTAAATATATTTTACCACAATAAAATAAAAAATTGGGGGAAAAAATCCCTCAGTATGTGGCTCAAAAATTTAGATTCTGTTTCTGACTATATGATTTTGAGAA